TCTGCCCATCACCTGGATCTCATGCTTCTTCATCACCCAACATCTACTTTTCCTTCTTCAAGTTACATTACAATTAAAATGGCAAATTTTCGATGCCACCTAACACAAGACAAAGAAACAGGAGCGGCCAGCACATGTATTAAACATGAGTTTAATACAGAAGAACAATGTCCATTTAAACCACAATGAGAGAGGATGAAATGCCGTAAGCGTGGCTAACCCAGAGGGTTGATGACAAGGCACTGTAAGAGTCAGAAACTTCTGGGCTGCTCGCACAAACCTCGGCAGAGTGCAAAGCAGAACTCCTGGGAAAAACACTTCAAAATTTTCTTTTCTTTTCTTTCTTTCTTTTTTCTTTTTTTTTCCACCAGTGCTAGAGACAAAATTCAGGGCCTGGAGCACAATGGGCCTGGTCTCTACCACTGAGTTAAACTCAGATCCTAGTACACACAAACGATTTTAAGGATGCAGGTGAGAAATAAGCAAAGGAACTCCTTAAAATTGTTTCTGTGTGCTAGGACCTGAGTAGTTTTGTATTCTCTTCTGGGCCCCTGGGAAGAATATTATTAAGGTTGGTCCTTAATAATATTCGAGACTGCTTAAGCTGGAGCCCTGCCATCAAAATACCCAAAGATGCCAAGATTCAGGGAATCACTACCCTGAGAACACAGAGATAATCTTCAAAACATTTGACTTTGGGGCTCTCCAGGAACTTGACATGTGACATAGGCAACTGATTCACAAATGAGCAAGAGAAAAGCTTGGACCTGAGTTCACCTGATGTTCTTGGTCATGTAGGGTCACAAAGTGTTCTTCAAGAGTAGTTACCAATATCACTGCCACTGGCCTCAAGTTACTGTTTCCATTCTTGTCATCATGCGGTATCAGATGCTAGCAGCAGAGCCCAGACACATGTCCAAGCCCACCTTTCTGCCTGCCCTGAATGCTTCCTTACTGTTTCTCTGTTCCTAGGAAGGGGAGGCATCTAACAGGAGTTCCAGAAAGACGGCTCTTTAACACACCAGCAATTCCTTGCAGTACACTCAATCCATGTCACTGTAAGAAGCTAACGACATTTCCACATTTTGCTACTGCTGGAATGTACAGAATGGTACTATGCCATTCTCAAATGTTTTCTTAATCTTTCTAGAAATTACAGGTCTGGGAATTCCTTTGACACTTCTTCTTTCCTGAGCTATTATGTAACCCCCAAGTTCCAAATCTAAAGGAAAAAAAGAACAGTTTGTTGCACTCTGGTAAAGAAACCGTCTGTGTTAGATGCACTGAGGGACCGGCTGACATTCTTTAAGGCCAAATCATCCTGGACAGCATTCCAAGGGCGCTTTAATAGAACATAATTTTAGAATTTAACGTAAGTGTAACACTGGGGAAAAAATGCTACCACTTTTCTTGGGTACATGGCACCGGTGTCTTCACACACTCTGGCAAACAGCTGTCCCCATACCAGGGTGAGGCTGATCTAGATCGTTCTATGACAAGAAAATGGATGCTAAAGTCACTTTATCACAATTGAGAATCATGATGCCTCCAAGACGTTGCCCTGGCATCCAGCAAGCTGGGCTACCTTACCTGAATACTACAGGAAACACATAGTTCCCTTCAGAAAGAAAGTCAACACATAGAAACACAGAGTTAAAGCTAGCTTGCATAAACCAGCCAGGAAGAAAAGACCCCAGGGTATCTTCAAGAGGACTTCCAGGGAGAGGGAATGTTTTCTCTTTACAAAGGCTTGCTTAGAACAGTGTTTCTCAAGGAACTCGGCTCGGGTGGCACAGGGAGCACAGCGCAGTCTCCTGATGCATGTGCAAACTCACTGCCAGGCACAGTGTGGGGACACAAATATAACCCTGACTGCGCACGTTCCCACTCTCTCTTTCTTTACACCTTTCTTTCCTTATCTTTCTCCTCTGCTCTTCCATTCTTTTTCTTTTCTATGTTCTACAATGTAGGGAAATTAAAGCCCCTGGTCTCAAATACAGGGGAGGAAAGGGGGGAAAAAAACCCTAATAGGTTAAATGCCAAATGTTCTGAAATCCTCCGTGTAATGAAAGCTCACTGTTTAAAGACCCAAGGGCATCTTTTCCATTAGTACCTAAATAAATAGAAACACATGAAAGTCAATGGAGATGCTGAATAGCCCTCCCTTGGCAATTATTCAGGCTGTGGAAATATCCAGCTCCCTGTAATCACTCACTAATTAGAGAAGATGACATTCTCCTTTACCATGGTTGAAAATGTGACAAAGAAGTCAAGAGTTTTTCTTCAAACTGATTAAAAGATGTCAAGAATGAACTCAGACAAGAATTAGGAGCTCATTCCTGAGGGCAGAATTCGCATCCTTAAGCCAAATAGACTCAATGCAGGAAGAACAAAGGCTTCTATGCACAGGTGCCATTGGATTGGGCGGTACTCTGCTCAGGGAGCATCTGCAAAGGGCCCGCTCTTCATCCGTGATACCCCATCCTACAGACAGAAGATGCCACAGCGCTCCACCGTCCTCTTCACCTTCCCACAGCACAGACAGCCGGCTAAGTACCAACCCTGAACCACTGTCCTCCACAACTGCAGTGGAAAGTACATGACTGGGTTTTCATTTTGAATTTGTGAATTGAATCTGATGGGAAAATACATGATGCTGTTGAAAAACATATATTTCAATTTCTTGAAAAGGGACATGCAATCCACCGACACCCCAAATCAGTAATGATGTAATTAGTTGTTTTGAGCCATTTTCTTCAAATAAGAAGGGAACAAAAGTTTTTCACCCTCTGTTGAGCTATATCCACAGTTTCAAATTCTGAACTGGGATTTATAACATACAGGGTCAAAACATGCCTTGCTTATAGATATACCTCTGTCTTCTCTGATTCTTCAGTGGTGGAATAGCACCCTCAAAGGATTCTGACATTACCTCTTCCTCTGAGTAATGTCACTTAGCTATCCAGTAGGCCTCTGTATATTAGGTGCACAGTGATAGACAACAGAAATTAACCTTACGTGTCATGTTCATACAGGTGGACATACACACAAATGCACATGTACTCTACATGCACACACAAACCATCCCTTAAAAAAGGGATGGTTTTGTGTTTGCTTTTAAATAAGGTTTAAACTGCACAGCAAAGTTGTCAGGTCCCAGTCTTTCTAAACATCACAGTAGATTCTTCATATATCGAGGTCTCAACTCTTGGTTTCTGTTGCTACACATGAAACTTGGAATTTTTACTAGTCTGGTGGCCTGTCTCCCTTGGCCTTTGCCTCCCTGGTGCCAGGACTGTAGGAGGGCCACCACGTACACCTAGCTTTTAAGTGGGTTTGAAGGGTCAAAATGTGGTCCTCACACTTAATGCTCCTCACATTTGACCCACAAAGCTGCCTCTCCAGCCCATGAAGAGCTTTCCTTTTTATCAGGAGGTTTCCATCATATTCCAAAAGCCACTTAACCTTTTATTATGGCAGCCTTAGGAAAACGATCAAGGTTAGACCACTTTGACATAAGGGTCATAGCGGAGGCTTGCAGATTCCTCCAGCATATCACAGGCCCCACTTGGAAAGCAACATACACCTTTAAGGAATCTGATACTTGCTTGGAGCACAATGATATAAGTTAAGAGCAATTTTCATGTAAGAGCAATGAGCTGGGGCTAGTACATAGCAGATAGGGCTCTTTTTTTTTTTTTTTCCTCCGAAGTTGAATATGAGAATGATCTGCTGTGAAATTGGCAATCTGATCAAAGTGTGGAAATGACAGAAATACAATCTAAACCTCTCCTTGACCCACAACTTCAAATTCCCACTCAGCTTCGAGACAAAGGTGCTGGAATCCTGGCATCTTCTCAGTTCTCACTGAAGAGAAAGGAGGGCATGGTTCTAACCCAGAGACAGAAAGCTGGTTCAGTTTCTTCATTTCACCCCCTTCATAGTAGTGCTCATTGATTCTTTTCATGATGGGAAGGAACATGTGTTGTCCCAGGTCTAAGGGGAAACCCAAGTTATGATGAGTAGGGAGTACAGCATTATAACTTATGTAGTCAGAAGTAGTAACTGGGTCTACTGAATTTAAAAGGAATCTATATACAGTACTATTAACTCTAACAATAATAGAAGAGAACCATCATTCACAAGGGATTTTCATTTTTTTTTTTTTTAATTTTTATTTTCAAGATAGGGCTTCTCTGTTTAGTCCTTGCTATTCTGGAACTCACTTTGTAGACCAGGCTGGTCTCAAACTTAATGGAGTTAAAGACTGAAAGGTAAGACTCTTCCCAGAGAATATGTGATCTAAAAAACAAGGGTCAATGACAGGCCCTATGATCCAGGCTTCTTCTGGAAGGAAAGTAGACCATAGCTGCAGGTATACCCATATCTGCAGGTATACCCATATCTACAGGTATACCCATATCTGCAGGCCTTGGCTACTTGTTTGACCCTTGCAGTCACTGTGGTACCAATGTTGCTTGAATTCTTACCACCTTAACATGGGCTTTGCCTGTCAGTAGCTCAAATGATTGCCCTGGACACCTCTCACCTAGACATCCGGGAATCCCTTGTCCCTGACAAACCTTGAGACATTGCAGTCATATCCAGGTTCTGTGCAAGGGCAACATGTTTGAAGACACTTCTGCACTATCCAGAAAGGATGCTGTAATGCACAGAATGTAATCGCTGGAAGATGAATTATTATTTTTTTTTTTTGTTACCTCTCCCAGATCAGATTTTCCTGACATATTGTGTTCATTCAGCTTTTGGGGAAGATAATCCTTCATTACTGAGCAATTAGTGGCACTGGATGTTAAGCAGGAACTATACTGGTACTGTGCAAACAGGACCTTTTCTGCTTCACTGGTTTTTTCTCCGGGGTGGCACCTGCTAAAAGGAAGAGGAGCACACACACGTCTGTCTTTAGTGCTGCTCTCTAGGGAAGGCAGATTAAGGCAGGTGTTTCCCTTTTCCTATTGCTAGGTTAGTCAATTTCTTACCTTTGCCTGCACTGGTGGTGCACAGGGGGCTGACACAGGGTCTGTGATATAGGTCTTCTTAGGACCACTGGCTGGATACATCCCAGAGGGGTTCTGATTCCCAGCTCCAGGAGCAGCATACCCTGGTTCCCGCTTCCAGGTATTCGGGTGAACTTGTTGTCCATAAGAAGGATCCGCATCATTTCTGGCCCCGTAGCCAGGCCCTGCTGCATAATAGGGTTCATAATATCGTCCTTGGTTGGAGGTATACCCATATCCCGGCTCAGGCTGATGTCCCGGGGGTGGGATATATGCATAGTCAGTACCAGCACGAGCTGAGGGAGGAGGACCCTGTCCCGACAGAGGAACTGGTTGGGTGTTATAGCCATGAGGCCCTGGACCATACATCTGTCCAGCAGACGGGCCAGCCATGTAATGTGGGCTGGGCTGTGCTGACTTCACTTGCACGTTGAAGGTGGGCCTTGAAGGTGTAGAGGCTGTCGTGTAGGAGGCCGGAACTGGCTGAGGCTGTGGTTTGAGAGTTCCAATGGGAGCCACTGGGATGGGTGCGGCCTGGGGTGCAGGCTGTGGTTTCACGGCCGACTTCTTGGTGGCCGTCAGAGGGGGCTGGTTGGGAATGACCATTCTCTTATGTCCTGTGACAGGAGTAGCGGCTGGAGGAGTGGCTGTTACACTAGTAGAGCCCTGAAATAGAAGAGAAACGTGATGAGGATGATCAGCAATACAAGAACATAATACACAGATAGATGGGCAATCGGGAGTGCGGCGAACTATTTTGTATCAAGGTGTAATATACAAGTAAGGCATGGTCCCTCCCTTAAGGAGCTCACTAGCTGAGACATCAGTCATTGTGCATAGCACCAGTGACCCACTGAAGAAAAAAACAAAAAGAGCAAATGCTTTTACAGTAGTGTCAAAAAGAACAGGACACCAGGAATAAGCTGAACTACTTACTGACTGAAAATGAAAACAGTGATGAGAATGATTACATAAATAAAGTTTTAACAATTCGGGTCTGGAGTGATGCCTGTCAAAATGTGGAAATAGAACAGTTACCTATTTCAAATGCAGATGGAAACAGAAAAGGCCACAAACAGTCAAACCAGTCTTGGAAAGGAGGAGCAAAGATAAAATTCATCACATTGCTGATTTCAAAATATTTGCCAAATTTTAATAAAACAATGTCGCAACAACATAGAGAGAGACATAAGTTGGAAGGAACAGGAGAGGTAGTCTGGAAGTAACCAAACACATATAAAGTTCACTTATTTTCTACATGAGTGACAAGAACCAACACAGGAGGAGGCACAGCGTCTTATACAAATTGTGTGGAAATACTGGGTTTCAACAACCCAGTAAGCAAATCAGAGGCTGCTCTTACACCACCAACTCAAGATGCTTCTAAAGAGGGAAGCGCTCTAGGAAAGAACACAGCTATAAAGTTTAGGAGAACAGTCTCGACAATGGTTGAATGGAAGCACAGACAACAGAAACAAAATGAACTGGAGAAACGACATCATCCTGAAAATCTCCACACAGCGAAAACAACAGATTGAAAGGCAAGCCGTGAATGGGATCACATATCCAGTAAGGGGCTAACCACCAAAGAAGCTAGGAAAGTCTTCCAGCGCAGAAGTAAAGTGAGACAAAGAGGGCTTAAGAGACTAGGTTCCTGGGATCCTCATGCCTGCTCTCAACCATCCATAACTCCAGTTCCAGGGAGTCTGATACTCTCTTCTGGCATCCATGGACACCAGGAACACACATGGTATACACGTATACATGCAGACAAATGTCCATAAAAAATAATAAAAAGGAACTTTTAAAAGACAAGCTTACGATTTGAAAAATAACAACAAAAATTACTTCTCTAAAAGGCACACAATAGACAACACATTAGAAATTGCTCAAAATCACTAATAACAGAGAAATGCAAACAAAATCCAAATGAGGAGTCACATCTTTGTCAGGATCATTGTTATTAGGCAAAGCAAACTGGCAAGCTAGTATTGGCAAGAAGGACCAGGGTCCCTACACACTGCTGTTGGGAAGGCAGAGTGTCAGAGCTGATAGGAAACACAGTAGGGAAGTTCTTGAAAATATTAAAATGGAACAAACATATGGCCTGGCAATTTCCCTTACTGGTACATATCCAGTATTACTGGAACGTGGATCTCAGAGAAAGAGCAGCATTTCCATACTCATTGCAGCACTATTTACAATAACAAGAAAACTGAGATGTCCATCAGCAGATGAAGGATAAAGAAAGTGTGCATACAATGAAATAATACGTGTTCCTCAAAAAGTACATCCTTCATCATATGTCAACAAAGATGAACCTCCAGGACATTGGAGTATGAAAAATGAGCCAGTTACAGAAAGACAAATATTGCGTGATTTTCTCACATGAAATGTTGAAAATAGCTAAGACTCGCAAAAGCCAAGCATAGGAATGATAGTGGGGGAGGGCTGGTGTCTTAGGCAGGGTTACTAGTGCTGTGGTGAAACACGGAGACCAAAAGCAAGTTGGGGAGGAAGGGGATTATTTGGCTTATGCTTCCACACCACTGTTCATCACTGAAGGAAGTCAGGACAGGAACTGAAGCAAGGCAGGAGCCTGGAGGCAGGAGCTGATGCAGAGGCCATGGAGGGGTGCTGCTTCCTGGCTTGCTCAGCCTGCTTTTTTGTAGCACTGAGGACCACCAGACCAGGGATGGCGCCACCCACAATGGGCTGTCCCCTCCCGCATGAAACACGAATTAAGACAATGGGTTTGCCGACAACACACTCTCGTGGAGGCATTTTGCCCAGCTGAGACCTCCTCCTCTCATATGACTCTAGCTTGTGTCAAGCTCTCAGAAAACTAACCAGCACAACCGGGGAATATTTAGTAGGGAGGTCCCAATCAATTGATTTGTTCCCAGTCAAGCGAGCTGAGCTGTGAAGGTCCACTGTTCAACAGTCCCCTCACTACCATCAACACCGTTCACTGTGCAAGGAGAGTGGTGTCAGACGTGAAGGAAAAACAAAGCTATCCAGACATGACCGAAAGGGAAGGGGAGGTCCTGCTCCGCAGAGCCGGCAGGTGGGGACCCCGCATCTTCTTGTCTCACGTGGACAGCGATCCTCACTTGTGTTCCAGGGTGAAGAGTACTACCTCCGCCCCACATTAGCACAGCGGGGCTTCATTAATATACACCAAGGAAGCTTGGAAAACGAATGGCAGAAAATCTAGCACATAAAAAGATGCAACACCCAGAAAAAAAAAAAAAATCACACATACATGTATGTATAGATGAGTGTGGTATTTAAATGTGCTCGATTTTCAAAACGAAAATGTTAAATTATGACAAAAATTCAAGAATTCATACAAAATCAAAAATAAAATAAAATGTCAAAATATATTCTTGGAAGCACCAAATAATCCAATAAACAGAAAATATTCCGCAGCATGACTCTTCAATTAACTGATTATGTGGACCAGATAAGCATTGGCACCGTTTAGTTTAACTATGAAGAACATAAATACATACACTTTAAAATAATGATTCCTGCTCTTTTCCCTTTCACATCCAATCAGATAAAATATGTAAAACTCTGGAGGAAAACTGTATACACCAAAATATACTAGTTTTAAAGACACTTACGATAAAAATATCCAAACACGTGCCAGCATACACGCAACAGAACACAGAGCAGAGAAAGGGAACACGGGGAAGCTGGCCTAGGGAATGCTTTTCCTTTTTGGTAGGTAGCAAAGTAATGGGTTTCATTTGGCCTTCTCACACATACTCTTTTTTGGGTGGTCCTCCTCCCCCCTCCTCCCCCCACATCTCCTGTTCACTCTGATGCTGGACACATGCTATTATTACCCTCTTCTCCCCTTTTCCTTAAACCCTGCTCTCTTCCTTCTCAGCCCCTTTCCAGCTCTAGGACCTATACCCACATTCACACCCGCACACATGCAAATACACATAAGAATCCAAAATGAGGTTCTGCATATAGGAGAGATCACACAGTGTTTTAGACATGCATGCAATAGCTCTGAAGATGGGGCTCTGAAACTGTCAGGGAATTTGTGGGGAGGGAGAGAGAGGGTGACTGTACTTAATCAAAAAGGAAATTTGTGAAACATTGTTTCTAAGAAGTGAGGGCTGCATTATTTCACTGTTTAAATGCAATTATGGTTGGTATTAGTTTTCAATTGGGGTTGGTTTAAGCATCTGTCCTAGGGCTGAGTTTACAGCTGCAATAGAGGACGTGACTTCTATTAGTCCAGTTCCTCAGTCATTGCATGCATTTATAGTTGAGTCTGTAAGATGCTCAAAGTCTGGACTCTACATTTTTGCTCCTGCTGAATCATCAAAGAAATCAAAGCTGATCCCCTCTGTAATCAGTTTCTCCTCCCTGACATGTTAATGATTGACATTACCGACTAGGAAAAAAGTCTAACTTTATGATTTTTCTAGGTTCAGTTTACTTTTCCATGAGGTCTCTTACAGAGTGTCAAGGTCTTATCTGGGTCCTTCTTTATGAAGTCTTCAGCACACATATTTTAATAACATACTGCTTAATTAAACACAACACACACACACACACACACACACACACACACACACACACACACACGTAAAATTAAACAAAAATTCTGCTTTCAATAGAATCCTGTAGGGAACCAAATCAGGAACTTAAAATTAAATCTTGTATCTTAGAATTACAAGTTCCCCAGGAAACTATACTTGAGAAAAATGATATATATTGGAACGATAGCCTTAGGAATCAGGATTCCCCAAAACATAACCAAAGAAAAATAACAAGGACATGCTCAAGCTAGGTATTCTTGAAGATATGATACATACAGGCATCATGTGTAGGCTCACTGTGTTGAGCCATCAGGGTCAGAAGATTGACCTGCAACCTGGACTGAGACAGCCATCATCTCCTCTAGACTGGAGAGGACTAGTTGTAAGTGGCAAAGGGGTGTAGTAGTTATTTCATCACAAAGAAGGGAGAGCTGGAGAAGAGAAAACTCAGGAGACCCAGGCACCATCCCTGACAGACAGGTAGAAAGTTCACAGTCAATAAGTCAGAGGAAGCTTTGTGGTAAAAGAGCTACTGGCATCTCGCAAGGGGCATTACTATCACCCTGGGCTGACAACGCCTATGCTGGCTTCTGGCTCACTCAGTGTTGACAGTGGCTTATAATAATCATGTAGTCAAAAAGTCTCTATTAATCTCCAATCTCCCCCTGGTCAGAAAGTGCCTTCATTCCAGCCGAGAAGCACTGGAAATAAGATGCTAATCTACTACCCAATGGGAACATTTTCATCTTCATCTCTTGTTTAGTCTAAGTGTACAAAAAGGTACATGCCTGGATTAAACTGGGTTTCATACCATTACAAATTATTTTCTAATCTTTACATAGAATTAAGGGCCCTCGGTCCCCCACATGACCTCTTCCCCCTACATTCTCTCTTCAGGTCCACATCTAGAGCTTGAAACACGATCAATATCACAAAAATTCTCAACAGCTTCTGTCTCTAGGGTTCACCTGTATTCTGTACCCTGGGCTCACATGCTCAATTGATTACTTCATCTATTGATTTGAATGTCTTGCATGTTTTTCAGATTTAACAAATTAAAAACCTTCCATACCCCCAACACCTGCTTCATTCTAGTTTTCT